AGGTCTCGAATTTCAGCATTTTACTGACTCATGTCGATATGACAGCAATTCATCTCCTTTTATGGATTTCCAGTGTGAAATAGAACTCTTAGGTCCATAGTTTGTAACCTAAATCCTCAAATCTGTTCCAGATTTTCAGAACATTGAAATATTGAAGGAAGAACTAGGAAACAAAAATCAATCGTACAACCAAAGAGAAAGATAGCTTGCTGCAGTTTGGAAGGTAACATAATTTCTCAAAATAACTCGATATATAATTCCAAAACTCACGCTTCCCTAAAACAAATAGGAGTGTAAATTGTACGTAAATAATAATAATAAACGACGACTCCAAAGTCAAGCATAGAGGCAGACAGGTAAAACTTCAACCAACATGTTTGATTTAGGGAAAAAAGCCATCAACCACCAAGAAAACATCCAAAGACAAAAAGGCCAGCTGATTAAATCGTTGGAAAAATTGTCTCACATACTTCTAGCATATACACAAGGTAAAAACAAGTTGGTTCCCAAGACACCAAACTAAAATTTTTGGATACAGTTGTATCCAACCTCTCAACTTTGTAGCAAGTTCATCGTTTCCATCCTCCCAACCAAAACGTTTCACCTTGTATGGGGATAAAATAGGTAGGAAATTACTTTTAATGGAAATAAAAAGAAAAGGGTAAAAGGAAAGTTAAAACATCCTGTCCGAAACTCAAACCCCCTTTCAACACCACCACCCCAGTCCTCACTGTCACCATCCCATCCCCATCAGCACCAGGCTTTTGTTGATTGTAAAGATATGGCTAGAGGAAATGAAATTCCCATTGCCAAATAGAATTTTTCATTTCCCAATAGAAATCAGTTTTCAGACTACAAATTGATCTAATCGCCGCTATTCTGAACACCGGACAGTTGCTGAATCTTTAACTGTTTGGTGGCACATCTCTAGATTTTGAGTCATTGGGGGAGAGATCGGTACTGGAAGAGGGTACCAAGTTCAAGAGGAATACGGTAGCAGTGGTGAAGTGGGTAGTATGTGCGGGCTCCAGCAGAGATGCTTTACTTTATTTTCATTAAAATTAAGCGATTGAATTTTTTTTCTGTAAAGGGTGGGGTATGCAAACCACGTGCATTTTTTGAGAGGTCAAGTGGATGTAACTTGACACTACAAATTAATAGCAACTTGCTCCAAACTTGAAAGATAGGAGACAACCCTTGTAAAAAAATTTAGCCTGCGAACCAATATACAACACATAAGTTGGGGCCTCCAGTGTAGTTCAACCTAAATAACTTGAAATTTTCATGTAAGTATACTATTATACAGAGGATAATTGGCAGATGCAATGATGTTTAAATCATAATGAAAGATCGTCATATGGCATATTCTTCCCTTTGCCTTTGTAACAGCATCATCTTTAAATAGAGAACTAGAAAACACTATCAAATCAGTTTTTACCTTGAGTCTTGAAAATTGTATTACTCTCATTTCTCACCGACCAATACTTAGAAATCAATACTCAATAGCCTATTAAGCAACAAATGCACTGCACTAAAGTTCCTTACTAAGGAAAGAACCAAGAAAATTTAACAACTTTGTCCCTGATACATGTTAAAAATTTAAAATTGAATGAAAACATAGGAACATTAAATTATACCAATCTGAAATAGCAAAGAAAACCAAAAACATTACCGTAGCAGGTCTATTATTGAGCTGTAAACAGACTCTTAGAGATGAAATAGAAAACTCAATTTCGACCAATCAGAAGTTAACACAGCTAAGAAACTGCCAGACCTCACCTCCATCTAAACAGCATACATATAAGCAACTAAATATGCATTATGGCAAAATAACCTTGTGAAACTGAGACATTAAAATAATATCAAAATAGAAACTTCAGAAAGACAAAATCAAAATTCCCAAAATGCTTCACCTATGAAATATCCATAACAAGATGAAATAAGAAAGCTCATCCACAAGAATCATAGAATAGCATAACAGAAAAATTCTCATCAAAATTAGCAATAACTCGTTATTAAATACGACCCTAACAATACCAAACTTGTTTGCAAAATTCAAGAACTGGTCGACACAGCTACAAGAGTACCTCAATAACGCCTGCCACCGCCACGGCCATAGTTCATAGCGGGCGCCAAATTGATGGGTCCCTGATCTTCCCTGAGCACGACACCAGGAAGATCCTTCATGCCAAGTGTCTCTAACAAGTCAACAGTTTCCTGGTCAACCTCGATGCGATCAACCTTGATGGCAGATTCATCAGGCACAAAGTCCATACGGCGCTCGCGCTCCTCCTCCTGCAGCTTCAGGGAGATCCCGCGGACAGGTCCCTTCCGGATTCTCTTCATCAAGTGAGTGGAGAAACCAGCAATCTTGTTGCGGAGGCGCTTGGAGGGGATGATAGCCACCTCCTCCAGGACCTTCTTGTTGGTGTGGAAGTCCAATGTCATCTTTGAGTAGTAGCGCTCAATGACTTGGCGGGAGGATTTCTTCACAGTCTTTGTGCGGACGCGACCCATTTTTTGGCTTTGTTGGTGGTGGCTGAAGGTTGCGGAAGCGGAGGAATTTTCAGGCGGCGGAAGTTTCAGGCGGGCAAGTGGCTAGGGTTTGCGCAGGTAGCGCAAGTTTGAGTTGTATTTATATAGTTATGGGAAATTATAAATAGCTCCCTCTAGGGTTTGTTATATCAAAATTGACCCCAAATTTTCCTCTGTTTGTTCATTCTAGTACATTGAAAAACAAAACAAAAATTATTTTGAAGTTTTGATCAAGCAATCGGTCTCATGCCCGGTAAAAGCAAAAGATCATCAAAAGCACACCCAATAGATTGTATCGTGTATATTAACAAATTCATATCATAATCGTTTTCTTAGTGTTCGAATGATTACTTTATTAAACTCATTTAGTGGTCGACATTAACAATCTCATTGTCAAGTTAGTAATGTCACATTCTTTTTGATTTAATGAGAAATGTTGTTTGAATTCATGATCTAATAATTTTGATAGAGGGCCATTAAAAATTATAACTTTCGAGAATTTGGAATGCCAAATTAGATCATAAAATACTTATAATCTTAAGTTGTATGTGACACTTCAAATCATGTAAGCCCAAGTTGAGAACATAAATTGACCGAATCCATGAAGAGGGACTAATTTGACTAATTTCTCAAAACTAGAGAACGTAAACCAAACAAAAAAATTCGTTAGTGGAATACATGCTACTTTTCGTAGCCGTTGGGGATGAATAGAATTTTACACTACTTTTAGCAAATTAGTAGTAAGCATTTGTGTTCCTTGTCTTATATATCAAATGAATGATATCCATAATATTTTCGAAGTATCGATATTTGGTTTTTTAAGTAATTGAAGTAATTAATATTGTTAAACGAAATGTTAAAATTGTAAAAAATTATATATATATGAATAACTTTTTTATTTTTAAGAAATTATGTATATAATGTGAAAATGTTGAATTAGGTCTGATCCTAGGCCCAAGATCATAGGAGGCCTAATTTCGGCCCCCCTTTTTAAAAAAAATAAATAAATAAGTAAACAAGGCCAACCAACTCAAAATCAATCATCCAACAACTAAACAACAGTTCACAATCCATTTACCCTTAAATCCATTTACCCAATCCAATTTATATATCCAATATTCACAATCAATTTATCCAAAATTCCCAAAATTTGAAATAAAGGGCCTGCTCGTCGTCTAAGTGTCATCTCCGTCAGGTCACTCCACTACCACCAGTCCGCCTCTGCCTTTTGCCTCCGGCCGCTTCATACGTCGGTTCCCACAATACATTTACCCTTAATCTATTTAGGGCCTGCAACGCCAACTCGTCACTGTCGATCAAAGTCTCGATCTCGTCTCTGCGAATGCGAGGCGTGAGTCTGGTCACTCTGCGGCTTTTGGCAAAGATTTAATAGGTCATGGATCTCTACTATTATTTTCTCTTATATTAATATATATTGATAATTTTTTCTTCTACTAGATTAAATTAGTTAATTTGATTGATGCCGAAAAGGAAAGTGCTATCCTCACAATTCCTTTAGCTTCTCCTCAGCCTTTCACTTTCCAATACATCTTGAAAAGATTAATGTAGTTTACGGAATTTATATGTTTCTTCTGAGAAATGCAGACTAGAAATACTTGTCCTTGGGCAGTGACTAGGATTTGATTAGTTAATATTTAAAATTGTCTCAAACACAAACACAGGAGCTATTGTAAGATGTTGTGAATCTAATTTTATTGGATTTGTGTTAGGCAATTTTGTTGTCAAACGACCTCCCCGGGCGATGATGTAACCTCGGTTGTTTATTATCAATCGGCCTCGGCCTAATGATTGATTAGCACGTCGACACAATTAACGAGACAACACAATCCACTTTGTTATGAACCGTTCGAAGTAACCTATTTTATAGTGTTGCTCATGGTTCCCGCACCATTCCTTGGAAGGCTATGTTATTATTGTTGAGGCCCAATTATTTGAGTCGAGGCTCGATCCACCACTTAGCCCTAATTGTAACTTACCTTGTTTGGACACTACCCTTGGCATATATTCCTCTCATCTCTCGGCCTCCATTTTAGAGTGAAATCCCCTCTTTGTGAGTCTCTCCCTCTCGGCCGTTCCCTCCTCCCTCTCTGTGACCTTTGTGGTTGACATATTGTGGGTATTTTCTTGGCCTTCTCCTTCCTATATCCATAGCAACCGGACCTTGGTGGCACAAGGTGATATTGGAGTTGTCTCAAGAATGGTGTCGGCGTTTTGAGTAAACTGAGCCCGGTTTTTTGGATTGCTTGGCTGTGGAATTCGGTCCTACAGGTGGTATCAGAGCCAGTTGAAGCTTTCCCGGCCTGAAATTTGTCAAAAATTGGCGGCAAATCGCATTTTGGGGTTGAGGACCGCGGCTGCAACCTTGATTTTCGGCCAATCCAGCCACTTTCCGGCGAAACCGAACCCATATCTAGGT